CCGAACCATAAACTCCCAAAACGTCGGCCCTTAACCGAATCCCTCCTGCGAGACGCCCGCGGGCTGCAACCCAGGAAGCACCTCCAGAAGCGCAAGCTCCCCAACCGCCTCGGTGCATGTGGGCGCTGGGGCTTCGTGTTTAGGATTTTGCGTTTCGGGTTTGGGGTTGAGGGTTGAGGTTGAGATGGGTTGAGATGGGTTGAGATGGGTTGAGATGGGTTGAGATGGGTTGAGATGGGTTGAGATGGGTTGAGATGGGTTGATATGGGTTAAGATGGGTTGAGGGTTTAGGGAATAGCGGCTGGGGGCTTTTGGGGGCATCCAGTCGCAGTTTGGGAACTTTGTGGTCTATACTGTTAAGGATGTTGGGGTTTGTGAGGGTATTGGAGTTAAGGGTTTGGGTGTCTGGGCTTCAGAGTTTTCAGGAGATTGTGCTTTGTGGGGGGGAGGGACTCTCGGCACTGAACCCAAAACAAAGGGTTATGGGTTTAGGGTTTAGGTTTAGGGTTGAGGGTTTAGGGTAATCCCTAAACCCTAAACCCTAAACCCTGAACCCTAAACCCTTTGAGGTCAACTCTGGCTCGGGTCTCAAACCGGGCCGCGTCAAAAACGTCCTCGGCAGCTCCCACAATCACGGCCAGCGGGTCCTGGAGGGTCCACTCCTGCAAGGCCTGAATGGGGTTTAGGGTTTAGGGTTTTGGGTTTAGGGTTTAGGGTTTAGGGTTTAGGGTTTAGGGTTTAGGGTTTAGGGTTTAGGGTTTAGGGTTTAGGGTTTAGGGTTAGGGTTTAGGGTTTAGGGTTTAGGGTTTAGGGTTTAGGGTTTAGGGGAGGTTTTGTGGGGGGGGGGGGGGGTTGAGGCTTTCAGGGGGCCTTTGGGGTCAAGTCTAGGGTTTTCCGAGATTCGAGGAGTCTACAAGAGCCTAAACCCTAAAACCCTAAAACCCTAAACCCTAAAACCCTAAACCCTAAACCCTAAACCCTAAACCCTAAAACCCTAAAACCCTAAACCCTCAACCCTAAACCCTAAACCCTAAACCCTGCTCAGCTTCAAGGGTTTGCGGGGCTTGGGAAGCACCTGGCAGAGCTCCATGCCGGCTACAAGCGTCGCCAGCAACCTCCTGTGGAAAGTTCCGTTCAGAGCCTAAACGTGACGGTGTTTAGGGTTTTGGGCATAGAGTTTGGGGCAGAGGCTCTTAACCCTGTACGAAACACTACTTGAAGGTTCATGGGTAGCCATAAGTGGGGCTGGAGGTGTGGCGTGCTACGGTAAATTAAGACCTTAATGTCAGCACTTATAGCCCTACATATAACTACCCATGAACCTTCAAGTAAGCCCTAAGCCCTAAGCCGTGAACGTGAACTCGAACCCCAAAAAGCCCGAACCGACCCCCCGGCTTCGAGACAGGCTTTGGAAGGTTTAGGGTTTAGGGTTCTGTTGATGTGTCTGAGAAGTCGAACCTGTTTTGGGGGGTGTCAGGCTTCGCAGCGTGGACCGGTCCTCGTCTTCTCTGAGGGGTCATCGGGGAAGAATTGCTTGAAGGAGCTGTTCGTGTGCTCTGCCCGGTACTCAATGTATTCGCGTGCCAGCCCCGCCGCCTGCTCTGAGCACAGGGGACGTCTTGGGGTTCAGGGCTTAGGGCTTCGGATTCATGGAAGCCAACCTCCTTCTCAGACAGGGCCAGCACATGCAAGCCCGAAGCAAAGCTCTTCAGAACCATCTGGCACGCGCCCTCCGTCTGCACCTCCACACACCAAGACAATGTTCGCTAGACCATGTATAAGCTGGTCAAAATTACGAGATTTTCGGTCCCCTTCTGGGGTCTCCAGTTTCGACTACATGATTTAGGATGCCAAAAACGCACTAGCAAGCAGTCCCCACCACAAGCCCTTCAGCAGGTGCCTTGGACCGAAAGCATTGCCGCCACAGGCGACGCGCCGTTCGCTGGAGGAGCTTCGAGGCTTCTTCGTCCCATCCCTCTTTCACCAAAAGCTCGGCAAAAGACCCCACAGCTTCTTCGAACTCCTGGTCCTTCTTGCTGCCTTTCGACCATGAAGCTTCTGCGACGGTGAAGTCGAACAGAGTTTCGAAGGTAGCTTGCAGGTTGCAACGGACCAGGCGGCCGGCCTCCGAGAACATGCTGCAGAGCTCAGTGAAGGTGATTCGCTTCGGCCCGGTGGACATCGCGGCTGTCTTCATGGCATTCTGCAGGTACTTGTCCAGACTTCTGCTGCCCAGCAAAAGGTGCAGCATCATCTGCCAGCATGTAAAGGCACTCACATGTTTAACAAAGCTCAAACAGACGGCGTATCCCCACACCCTCCGAAACTCCTAAAAACTCCTAAACCCTAAACCCTGAAGACTAAACCCTCATCAAACCCTAAGGCCTCCGCTCCAGCATCAGATCCTGGTCGCACACGGGGGTTAGGGTTGAGGAATCAGGGGAGGCTTCCAAAGGTAGCAATCAAGAAGCCCAGGTCTTGCAGCCCAAGCCGACCACGCGCCAAACCAAGCAATGCTTGACTCAACATCTCACGAACACAACCCCAAAAAAACACGAGAAGGCTTCAGAGGGGTTCGCCTTAGAGGTTCTTGAAGGCCCCCTAACCCCTAAACCCTAAACATCCTAAAACCCAATCCCCAAACTCTCAAAACCCTAACCCTAATCCTAAACCCTAACCCTAAACATTCACTCTCCCTGATAATTATATTATCATAGGTTATCCCGCATGCATCTAATTCACTTAATACAGCAATAATACTAATAGAGAACGAGCGAAATGAAATGAAGTGAGTTCGTGCGTCCGTGGGTGGTTGGTTGAACGAAGTGAGTTTAGTAACCGCCCGTGAGACAGGACTAAAGTTGTGACCTCGCGAATGACAGGGTGAATCATATGTCTGTTAAGGTGGGTTTTTGGTGAGTGAAGAGAGCACAGTTCATGCACGTATAAGGAATGTAAAGACGCAGGAAGTGCATTTCACGTGTGAACGAAACAGTAAGAATATTCACTAAAAGAACATATAATCTCTGATCGAAAATATAACTGAGTAAGCGATCGCATGATATTCAATTATAAATTGGGCTTTTTCTCGTTCAATAAATGCACGCGGTTGTTCATTCATAAATTCATTCACTCCCTTGTCATTTAATTCTCTAAATCCTAAACTCAACCCCATACCCGGGACATCCTAAACCCTAAACCCTGAACCCTAAACCCTCGAACCTTAAGCCGAGACGAGGCTCCTTGAGCCTCCGCCAGGGCGGGTGCTTCGGCACTCTCTGGGTCGACTTCTGGTGCGCTCGGCGTCCTTGTCTTGGGTTTGGGGTTTAGGGTTTAGGGTTTAGAGTGTAGGGTTTAGGGTTTTAGGGTTTTAGGGTTTAGGGCGACCCCTGACCGAGGAAGAGTGCAGCCAGGGGCTCTGGAGGCCCTCGAAGAGCCCGAGGATGCCGAGCAAGTCTTGCACGAGGCATCGTCCCCCCAGCAGCGACCTCCAGAGCGCCTCGCGCACTTCCTCGGACGCCTCCCCGATGCACCGCATCTGCTGAAGGGATGCTGCAGCCTGCTCCCGCACGAAAGCTCCTGCAGGATGGATGTGCAAGCCACAACAAACCGCCGGTTTTCGAAGGAAGGCTGCTAAGTCCTCTAATCTCCTAACCCCAAAATACTGTGAAGACACCCATGAACCCCACGCCCTCAATTCTTTGAGTAGGCGCCCCCCTTGGCCCCACAGGGCCTCCCCGAGGATCGAAGCACACCGGCTGCAGCAGCGAAGAAAGCTCAAACTCATACACGGCCTCCGCATGGATCATCTGCCTGCTGTTCACTCCCCCCCTGAGCCCTAAACCCTAAACCCTAAACCCTAAACCCTAAACCCTAAACCCTAAACCCTAGGGTTGTCATGGAGAGTGGGAAGCTGCCTCGGCCCCTGGCCAGGCCTTAGGGCTTATGGGGGATCAAGATTTCGGGGATTTAGGGCTTGCAGGGTTTATGGTTTGGGGTTTCGGGCTCGGCCTGAAAACCTATAGCCTCAGAACTCTGGTCAGGTTCCTTGGGGTTAAGGAGTGAAGCCCCGCTAAACCCTGCCGACAAGGGTAACCCTCAGCCACCCCAATCCCGCCCCCCCCCGCCCCCAGAAAAAAGGAGAACGAGCACAAGCCTGACAGCTTCCAGCCAGCTTGCATTGCCCAACCGCGCATCGAGGTAAAGCATCATTTGCAGCCCGCGCCATAAGTCCTTATAGATGACTGGAACTTGATAGAACCCTGTTCTCAGTGCGCTCATTTCATGTTGCGGATGGGGGATCCTTCTGCAAAGTTTTTGCCGGGGCTCTTGCTGCAGCAGGGCTTGAAACTCCTCACTTCTGCACGAGCATGCGGCGAAGGAAGACAGCACACTCGAGCTGCTCAACGATCTGTGGGTGGCTTTGCAACTCGTTGCGAGGGTCTTCACCCTGTCCACATGCACCTCCTCATCCTCGGCTGTCGGCTTGTTCAGAAAAGCACGAGGGTACTGTTGACTCGGTCTCATGCAACTGTGGATGGCGAGTTTGGCTGGAAGTTTCACTCAAGGCCAGGCATCTGTGTCTTCCTTGAGTGGCTGCTTAGGGTTTAGGGGTTAGGGCCAAGAGTTCGGGCTCCTTGCACTCAGGAGTCCTGACCGGGGATACTCCCAAGCTTTCGCACCACCATCTTGCTTCGGAAAGCCTCCATGGGAGGGTGGCTCAAGGGACTCCGGAAACTCCGGGCCGAAGTCCTGGAGGTATTTTAACCGAAATCATCATAACCTTGAACCCTATTAAACGTTTGGGGTTAAGGGTTCCTAAACCCCCAAACCCTGAACCCATGGAACCACCAAGCAAAGCGAGACCCCTCAAGATCGACCAGATGCGCAGCTGTGCATGTTGAGACCCTACAACCCCCTTAACGATTCGGGTTTAAACCCCAAACCCAGATAACAAGTCATAAACCCAACCCGAACCCCTCAACACGAACCCGCCTCCTTCACCACTTCGAACACCCCAGCTTCACTTGGGCCACCGTGGCTTGCATTCTTCTTGGAGCCTTGCTTTCGCGGCCTCGGTTTGGGGGGTTTAGGGACTCGGCCCTTGAGGGGCTTTCGGGGGCTTTAAGGAGAGGGGCTGCGGGGATGGCGGCACGCAACTTGTGGATTAGGCCGAGGCTCTCCACCATCACCAACTCACCTGGTTCCATCGAACCCTAAACCCTAAACCACCCCTGACCCTAAACCCTAAACCCTAAACCCTCACCATGTCTTCACCGTTCTTGAACATCCCGAGTCTTGAAGCCAGGTTGAAGGGTTTCGGGAGATATCAAAGATTCCTAGCTTGTTGAACACCCCTAAAAACCCCTAAACCCTCCTGGCCTCTGCCAAAGAAGCCTGCATCTGGAAGCCTCACCAGCCGCCCGACCGCGCAGAATGCCAGCACCGCTTGACTGGGGCAAGTTGGCCCAGTGAGCCTCTGTTCTGTTTAGAGTTTAGAGGGTTTAGAGGGTCTAGGGGGTTGAGAGGGTAGGGTTTAGAGGGTTGAGAAGGTTAAGAGAGGGTCTAAGGGGACCGGTGAATTTTGCACAAGCAGGTCCGACCTCCCAAACTGCCCTGCTAAGGCTAAGACTCGAAACCCTGAACCCTCCAAACCCTCTAAACCCTCTACAAACCCTCTCAACCCTCTAAACCCTCTCACCCTCTCAACCCTCTAGACCCTCTAAACCCCCTAAACCCACTAAACCCAACCCTCTAAACACTCCCAACCCTCAACCCTGACCATAAGCCTTAGACCCCCAGCGCTAAACCCAAAACCCTACACCCTAAACCCTGAACCCTAAACCCGAAACCCTCCCAGCCCTCCAGCCAGGCGACAGTTCCAGGTAGTCTCCCAGATTGGGCGCCGCCCGCATTTGCTTGCACAGCTGCGCGAAGTCGTCCAAGACCCCGGACAGCGTTTCCCCGCTTGCACCTGGGCCACCCGAGGTTTCGAGTCTAGGGTTTAGGGTTTAGGGTTTAGGGTTTAGGGTTTAGGGTTTAGGGCTTCGGGTTTAGGGCTTCGGGCTTAGGGTTTAGGGGTCTAGGGTCTAGGGTCTAGGGTCTAGGGTCTGGGGTCTAGGCTTCAAATTTGAGGGCTTATTTGCCTAACCCTAAACCCCACCCCCTAAAACCCTATCCCTCTTGAAACCAATCAAGCGGAAAATTATGAGAAATCTTCAATGGTCTACCATTGGGTCCCCCACATCCTAAGCTCCCCCGATCCTGGAATATTGGGTTGAGGGTTTAGGGACTTAAAGGGTTGAAGGGTTTACGATTCAGAGGGGCGTTTTGGGGCTTCAGGTCTCAGGACGGGTGGGAAGCTGGGGGTCATGAACTTAGGATGCTGGTTTCTCTCCTTAAGGTCCCTAGACCCAAAACCCTAAACCCAAAAACCCAAAACCATCACCCTCAGCCCTCAACCCTAAACGCTGAACCCTAAACCCTAAACCTGCCAAGCAACACCCAGAATCTGCCAGTCGATCGTGGAAGGAGCAGAGGAACTTGCCGTGAAGATCCGCCTGCATCCCGTCCCGTACTGATTCTGGGGTCTTGGGATTCAGGGTTCGGGTTTTAGGGTTCAGGTCTAAGCTTGCTTCAGCGTCTCGTAGCCTTTTGGGTGGCAACATCTGAGCAACTCTGAGCACGTGTGGAAAACCCTGAACCCTAAACCGAGCCTGCTTCACATCCTTCTTTCCTTCGAAGGCCACATGGCCGAAAAAGTGCGAGTCGCCAGGCTCTGTATGCCTTGAGCCGAGCCAAGGTCTAAGATGCTGGGCTTTAAGGGTATCCCGAAATCTCACCGCAGCCCTCCCTTCTTGAATGCATGAACAGGAACCGACTGACGTCCACATCACTCTGCAATAGGTTGCCATGGTCATTGCGCCCACGAAAGAAGCTTTCCAGGCTTTCCATGACTCCCATGCGCTTGTCCTTGTTCAGAGTGAATGTCCTGATGAGCAGGGATGAGAATGCCGAGTATACTGCAAGGCTGAAGCAAGCACCTGCCTTAAGGCAACAGAACAAGTCAATTGCGCACCGAGAGTCAGTTTCTGCGGCATGTTCTCGAAAGAAGCGCTGACTGGTAGCGTACACCAAAACAGGCCGTTTGCGCCACTCTGCATCAGAACAAGCTCACTGCCCGTACGAGCTTCGCTGCAGCAAATTTCTGCACCTGCGGAAACAGGAGGTAGTCTTTATCACTGTCCTTCCAGTGTTGTCTGAATCCCACACTTTAGGTGAACCTACCTTGTCTGTGGTTGATGAACTGTCCGTGGTTGATAAACCTCCGACCTTCTGAGGCTTCAAGACAGAAGACGTGCACATGCAGCTTGCTCTGGGCATCCATTCGGCGATGCACTGCGTGGTAGATGCCACACAGGTTGCGGCTGACTAAGTCCTGCCATGAAGATTCGGACACACATGCGGCACTGTCCAATGCATGCTGTAGTGCTTCCCGGAGGTTGGGCTGATACATGATAAACATGCAAGCGGTCGTGAATTTGGTTGCACGGTCCGGAAATGTGAATACCCACTCCTGTTGCAATATCGTTCTTTGTTTCATCTTCTTTCACACAACTGTCCAACGAAACACATCTGCACACTTTTGGAGAACTAGCCTGAGGATTAGCATAGGTCAAGAATGGTCAAGATGCAGTCTCAGACGATGGTCTTGTTGTACTATTGGCCTTTCATTCTTGCTGTACGAGGTTCTGCCGCTCCTGGTGTGACGTCACCAGCTTCGTCAAGGCCGAGGGGGCCAACCATATGCTTGCAGCTTTCCGGCCTATTGCAGGCTCCTGCTGGCATTTCACCCCCTTCTTGTCAACCTCCACAACTTTCACTGTTTGGCCCAACCACTTCTTCAAGTCCTGCAACATTGCACAAACAACAGCAAGGGCTGTGATTGACCGAAGTTTGACTGAGGTGAAAAGTCCTTGCTCTTTATGTTCTCAGCCATGAGGGCTGCCGTTGCCGCTTTCTGGTCAGACAAGACCTGCACAATCTTGTCTGCGGGAAAGTCGGCAACCGACACAAATGGCAACTCCCAATGGAATCCGCTTCCATTGCGCGACATTGGCCCCGAAACAGCGAGCGAGCGCTACTCTGCAAGCCAAAACTCAAGTTAGTGTGGGCACAGGTTTAGGTTTCCAGCAAGGCTAGTGCAGCTTGATGCGGTAGCTCTACGGGATCCGGGTGTTGGCTGCGCGACGAGGACACCACGGCCTGAAACCTCGCTGGAAGCGAACATTTCAGGCCCTGGCACCAAAACCATCCTTCCCAACCCCCCAGGCTAAAGCATGCCAAACATCCTTCCGGCCCAGCTCCCTCGCCTTTGAGATTGGGGTGTGGGGTAGGGCTGAAGAAAGCTACTTTTCCAGTTCAAAGATGTTCAAAGCACGACAATGCATGCCAAAACCAGCCTTTCCAGGCTCGGCACTGCGCCACTAAGGGCTCACAAGGACATCCTTCATCCACACATCCTTCGGATGTTGGAGGCTCAAGTTGGAGGCCTCAGAATCACACTCGCCGGTATGCCAACAAGTACTCTGGATCTCACGGAAGCGGGCCACGGCTGCGCGACTCTTCCCAGTTCCCAAGTTCACAAGGAGTGTGTGGTAGGAAAAGGCTGGGGAAGTGCCAGGAACCCTGGAGAGTTCCCTTCGATCCGGTGATAAAAATACATTCTGAGCCGTAGCTTCATCTCGGAGCCTGTCATTGTCAAGGCCTTCCGTTTGGAAGCAAGCCCCACAGCAGGCTCGGACGATGAAGCAGTAGAACACATCCTCGTTGGGGTGCTTGTTGCCACCTGCGCGATAGAGGCGAGAGTGCAGATCCTCCAAGCCTGGGGTTTCGAGCCCCGGGTCTGGCCGTGTGTACTGATCCACCTTCTCGGGATCTTCCACAAAGCAGATGCCGGCACCGAAGAGACCTGAAGGGGGGGGGGGAGGGGGCTTTAATCCCTGTCACAAATTCATCCCCTTTAAACCTCTACTTTCACCCTCAGCTCGTTTGGATTGTATCCCCCCTTGATAAGAACCCCCATCACAAAGCGTACCTTAAACTCCTCCCTGTTTGCCGGAAACCTGCACCTTTTAAACTGGCAAGCTTCTCGGTGAAGCCCTGGTGAAGGATGTCCAGGAGACGTTCTGGACTGGTACCATGTAGCAGGTATCGTTCTCCCACCTCCTTCAGGCTTCGGTCTCAAGTAATCCCTAGACACTCAGACTCAAAAACCCCGAAACTTCCCCAAAAAACTTCTCTCTGAACTTCCTCAACCCCCCAAACTTCCCTAAACCTCCCTGAACTTCCCCAAAAAAACCCCGAAAAAACTCCCCTAGCACTCCCCCTACTCACCCCCCCACCCACAACAAAAATAAAAAACAAAAACAAAAAAACAACCCTAAAACCCTCGCTCCTCAGTGAAGAGCGTCCCAGGCATGGCCAAGGTTGCATCTTCCAGTTTGCTGGACCAAGGCTTCAGAGAGATTCCTCCTTTTCCTTGGGTTTAGGGTTTAGGTTTGTAGGGTTTAGGGTTTAGGGTTTAGGCTTGAGGTGATTCCTCGTTGTCCTTTCAGGGATGTTTTGGGCGGGGGGGGGGGGGGGTTAGGGTTTTGGGTTTGGGCTTGAGGTGACGCCTCCTTTTCCTTTTCGGGAGATGTTTAGGGGGGGGGGGGGGGGGGGGTTGAGGGGTTTAGTGGGTTTAGGGTTTAGGTTAGGGTGATGCCCCCGTTTCCTTTTAGGGGGTTTTAGGGGATTTTGGGGTTTAGGGTTTAGGATTCCTCCTTTTCTTTAGGGATGTTTGAGGGGGGGGTTGAGGGGTGCAGGGGTTGGGGGTTTTTAGGGTATTAGAGTTTCGGGTTTTAAGGTTTTAGGGTTGTAGGGTTTTGGGGTTTTAGGGTTTTAGGGTTTTAGGGTTTTAGGGTTTTAGGGTTTTAGGGGGTTTAAGGGTTTTAAGGGTTTTAGGGTTCCGGGCATTAAAGGTAGGGTGTAGGGTGTGGAATTCAGGAGGGATTGTTCGTTGTGAACTTGTCTTCAACTTCATGCTCTTGAAGTCATGGCAGGACATGCCAAAGAGGGCTTAGGGTTTAGGGGTTTAGGGTTTAGGGTTTAGGGTTTAGGGTTTAGTAGGGTTTAGGAGGGTTTAGGGTTTAGGGTTTAGGGTTTAGGGTTTAGGGTTTAGGGTTTAGGGTTTAGGGTTTAGGGTTTAGGGTTCTTACCCTTCCCTGGCAACCCGAGTTTCGAATCTGGTTCATGTGCCGACGCACATCGTTTCGCTCAGCGGCATACTTGTTCCAGCTGTCGTGCTGGAGCCGCCAGGCACAGTGCACTGCCAAGTTGGAATATGCACGATCATAGGCCATGGCGTCGCGTCCCTTGCCAAGCTCTTTCGGAGACCTGACGGTGAAAATCCCAACCCTAAAGCTTAAACCGTAAACCCAACCCCCCACCCCCCCACCCCACACCCCCCCCCACCCCCCACCCCCCCCACCCCACCCCCCACGCCACCCGCCCTGCGACCTGACGGTGAAAATCCCCTTGATCGCCGTCAAGGTCGCGTCATTCACGGGATAGAGTTTCCAGCCCTGGTCCAACTGAACCTCGTCCATGGGATTTTAGGGGTTTACGGTTTAGGAGTTTAGGGGTTTGAAGGGTTTGGGGTTTAGGGCTTAGGGCTTAGGGTTGAGAGTTTAGGGTTGAGGGTTGAGGGTTTAGGGTTTAGGACAGCCCTGGTCCAACTGAGCCTCATCCGACCAGTACTCTGGCAGGCTGACTGGCAGCTTGCCTCTGGCGGTCAGAGGCGTCAGAGGCGTCGGAGGCTCTGTGCGGTTCAAGTCGCCAGGCGCCACAGCTGCACTGACCCTGGATTTTCGGATGACTCCAGCTGCAACCGCACCCACACTGGCCAGCAAACTGACAACTCCAATCGTCACAATCAAGCCGATGCTCACGAAGTCCATACCTGAAGCACTGGGGTCGTCCACAACAGCAGCGGTGGTTCCATCTGTCGTGGCCGGGGACGTGGTGTACTGAGCTCCGGGGATTACGGGCGGCTCCACTTCCATGACGACCAGACTGTAGATGGGCGGTGCAGCATTGACTTCCCGCCGCACCGCATCAGCGACCTCCGGGAGTGTGGCTGCCAGCATCGCCTCCCTGGCTTCCAGAAGCCTCTTGACACCTGGTAGGAAAACTGCGAAGCGCACTTCAACATTCGCCCTGCCGGAGCCGGCAAAAAGGCTCCTGAAGGCGGTCACCTGGACGTCCACCGCTTGCACCCCCATTGTCATGGCGAGCGCGGCCACAAGGCCAGGGACCACGCCTGCATCCTCCAAGAACTCCGCAGCCTGGGCCACCTCCATCTGGATGGCACCCGTCATGACCTGCAGCCATGTGGAAGAGGTCGTGCTGGTCATGCTGGTCATGCTTGTCATGCTGGTCATGGTCCTGGTTGTGGATGACAAAGCCACTGAAACATCCGTCACGGTATCACTCGTCGTGGTAGCACTCGAGGAGGTACTTGTTGTATTCGAAGAAGTACTTCTCGCACTCGAAAATGTGCTTGTTGTACTCGAAGAACTTCTTGTTGCGGTGGTGGAACTCAAAGAAGTGCTTGTTGTACTTGAAGAACTTCTTGTGCTTGTGGTACTTGAAGAACTTCTTGTTACGGTGGTAGAACTCGAAGAAATGCTTGCTGTACTCGAAGAACTTCTTGTTGGTGGTGGAACTCGAAGAAGTGCTACTTCGTGTTGCGCTGGTAGCACTCGAAGAAGTGCTTGTTGTACTCGAAGAACTTCTTGTTGTGAGAGTCATGGTCATGGTCCTCGTGCTGGTGACAGTGGTTAGGGTGGTACTCGCAGAAGTGCTGGTCGTTGTTGGTCCACTCAGCTTCATGGCAAACATGTCATAGCTGCCAGCGCTGGAATGACCATCAAACGCAACATCTCTTGTAAAGCAGGCTAACAAGATGTTGCGGGACGAATCTTGCCGAATCGCTCTGGGCACGTCAAAACTGCTGGTTCCCGTTTGGAAGGTCCACTGCCAGGACCCCGCGCTGTCGAGCTCCAGCACGAAAACATCCCTGGAACCAGCATTGGAATACCCATGAAGTCCGCCCAACGTGAAGCCAGTCACCAGGATGTTGCCAGAAACATCAAGGGCCGTCGCGATGGCCCAGTCGGCTTCACTGGTCCCCGTCCGGTACGTCCACTTCCTAGATCCTGTGCCATCCAGCTTGTCTCCGCCGGTATTGGAGTTCCCGTGCAATGCACCTTGCGTGTGCCCTACCACGACTGAGTCGCTGGAAGAATCAATTCGAACTGCCAGGGCCACGTCGGTCCCAGTGGTTCCCGTCTGATAGGTCCATTGGTGGGACATTGAGCTATGGAGCTTCGTAACAAAGATGTCCTCGTTGCCAGCGTTCGAGTTGCCGCTCAATCCACCAGCGGTGAGGCCGACCACCACGATATTCCCTGAAGCATCAATATCAACTGCAGCTGCGATGTCAGAACTACTAGTCCCGGCCTGGTACGTCCAAAGACGTGAACCTGCACTATCCAGCTTTGTGACGAAAAGATCCCAGCTGCCTGCGTTTGAGTTGCCATCCAGCCCACCTTCGGTGATGTCTGCGGTGACAACGTCGCCAAATGCGCTGTTGACAACTGAATAAGCAATCTCCCCTGCACTGCTTCCTGACTGAAAGGTCCAGAGATGGGAGCCTGTGCTATCAAGCTTCATGACAAAAACGTCGTCGCCGTCAGCGTTGGAATTGGTACCCAGCTGGCCCTGAGTGGCTCCAGCTAGGAAATGTTTCCAACATCATCGATGTCAACCGACTCAGCCCAGTCTGAGACTGAAGTTCCTGTTTGAAAGGTCCAGTGAAGCAGCCCCTGGCTGTCAAGCTTCATGACTACAATGTCATTGCTTCTCGCGTTCGTGTTGCCTCCCAAGCTGCCTTCGGTGTAGCCTGCCAGGACGAGATTGTCAGAGGAATCGATCTGTGCATAATGACAAACATAGCCACTTGTCCCAGTCTGGAAGGTCCAGAACACATGTTGCGCGTTGGCTGCCAGACACAGCCAAGAGAAACCAGCAAAGCGCCACATGCCCAGCACTCCCCAGCACTACATGCTCTAAGCTGTCCAGCTTCTTGAACACACAAAGTGCTGCACAAACGAGGATGCCACTTGCAATGTGATAGGTCCAAGCTCTCACGAATGAAGAACCACACTTGGGTTTTTTGCCTGACGGCAAAATGGGGGTGCGAAGCACTCTCTGCTTGGCATCAAATCAGGGGGCCACATGGATTACATGGCCCCATTACCTACGACGGAGCTAAGTGTCCAGGGTTTATTTTCAGGTTTGAGGGTCGGGTTTTTAGGCTCAAAGGTACTCTGTTTGAACCGACAAACAGACGTCGAAGCCAGTCCATTGCTCCTTTCGTGTTTTCGCGTGCCCTAAACCCTTCCTGGACCATGAAAGTTTCTGCGTTCTGGTCTAGGGTTGAGGCCTGAGGGTCTAGGGTTCTGGGTTTAGAGGCTACAGGGTCCCGGGTTTCGGTCTAGGGCGCAGGGTGTAGGCCATTGCTCCTTTTCGTGTTATCAGCTTTTGCGGCGAAGACGGAGGAGATGCTGCCCTGCGTGCGACGGTTTTTCCGTGTTCTGAGTGTCTTGAAGCGCTCTAAACCTCAATCACTGAGTGACTTAATTGCAGTATTTTGATGTTTTTTTTGTTTTCGACTTCGTGTACAGGCTTTTCCAATATCATTTGGGTCTTGTGAGTTTTTTGAAGCGCTCCGAAACCTTAATCACTCAGTGACTCGATTTCCGTACTTTGATGTTGATGTTTTTTTGGTTCGACTTGTTTGTGTATAAGCTTTCCAATATTATTCTTGCCATCTTGGTGTTTTGAGCCTTTTGAAGCGCTTCTTTTCCCAATCACTCAATGATCTGTAATGATCTGATTTGCGTATTTTGATGTTGATGCTGCTCTGTCCCGACTTGTTCGTGCGTGACCTTTTCCAATATTATGCTTGCGATTCTGGTGTTTTTGAGCGTTTTGAAGCGCCTCTAAACAGAGTAACCTGATTCTAGTATTTCGATTTTGATGCTTGGGCTGGAAGGACATGTAGGGCTTAGCAAAACTTGCTTAGTGCCTGCAGGGCTCGGCGACTACGTCCGTCTGCTATAGGTGCAGGGGCCCCCTCTATCGCGTCACCACGGGATCTTGCGTGGGGAGCTGGCTCTTCGGCACAAGGCCCTGGCCTGGGAGTGTCTGCACGGTTTCAGGGCTGTCGCACGGTTGATGCAAGGTTTCGGAGCCTTCAGGGCAGCTTCGGCAGGCTAATGGAAACTTGGGGGGTTTCGGGGGTCTTGGCGTTTCAGGGCCTCGCTCCGTGGATACCTCTTCTGGAAGGTAGGGCAGAAGGTGATCCATGAGTGCTGGAGTTGGGGTTCCGGAGAGCTCAGGGGCCACGGCTCGCCCAACCCTTGAAAGGTCTACAGGAGAATCGGCGCATGTGGATTTGCTCTGGATGAGCAGCAGTTCCACTGGCTCCCGATTTTCCCCGGGTTGGGTGGGCGGGGCAAAAAGTTTTCTCAGCGAGAGTGCTCAACCTTGAGAGCCCAAAGAAACATGGAACATGATGCTGCTCAGCAAATACATGTATGGACATGCACGTGAAACGTGTAAAAACAATCAAAGAGAAGAGTTGCTCAGCAACAAGGTAAAATTTCACTGTAAAAGTTCGCATGGTGAAAAACAATCTTCGCCCAAAACATCTCAACCAAGCAGGGGAGGGGGACGAAGGAAACTCAGAAAGAGCATCTTGAAAAACCGTGCACCGCACTACAACAACTTTTAGTAGAGAGGCCTGTCAGCAAGCTGAAATGCTTCCTCCAAAACAAAAACGTGAGACATCTTGAGACTGTGCCCCGGAACAGCAAACTTTTTTCTACGTTGTTTCCGTCTGGATGCTAGGCCTTTGCCTTTTTCTGGACAGCATCCAGGTCTTGCGCTTCCAGACAGGCTTCTGCCTTCCCCGTCGCCCGTGGCTTCCAAGCGATCCCGATAGCCAGGACTGGAGCAGCTGCAGGCACTTACAAGCGTTGGCTTGGAGGATACCGACATCCACGGCCAGCTGCCAGGGCACAACCACACCATCATCGAGTCTAGTAAACTCCACCCTTCCTGGCCAAAGCCGCTCCAGTGACGCCTTCCAATGCCGGACCTCTTCTGCCAGCCACTGCTGGGCATCAGAAGGCACCGGCAGGCCACGCGACATCCGTCGCAAGTGCAGGAACGCCTGGCTGTTCGAGCCAATCGTGGCCAGGTCTGTGGGTACGCTGCTCTGAGACCACGCGAGCTTGCCCACTCCGCGATCTGCAGCTTGGAGATATTGAAAAACATGCCCTAGGGCTAGGTCACTAAAATGTGGCACGCCAGCCATGTGCGAAAACGCCTCCTCTATGCAGGAGGCGTGGCTCATTTTCCACACGGCGTGAGTCCTCTTGTCCAGCCAGTATGGGAACAAGATGGTGTCCACGATCGTTCCCAGACTCAGCAGGCTTGTGGATCGTGTGGAAGGGTCGCCTAGCCGAGCATTGCCGAACTCGAGCGCCCAGCCGTATAGTTTTGGCAGCGCATCCTGGGCGGAAAGGCGCGTGTCCGGACTCTTGGCCAAGGCCTGCGCGAGAGTCAGTGAGCGGCCGGCCAGGGTAACCACAAAGCACAGCAGCAGGTCCTCAACCGGGATACCAAGCCCCGCCGCGGCGGTCCAGTACTCCCGTATGGCCTCGGCCAAGGGATCCTGTCGGAAAGGGTTCTGATCCTTGGTAACCGTGTGGAGGTGCAGGGACTCCAGCACGACTGCAGCGGTCAAGTACGTCCCAGGCGTCGTTTGGAAGACGGGGTTTGCAGTGCTGAGGATAGCGTCATACAACTCCAGCGTCAGGAGCGAATCATGGGCCAGGCTTGTCAGGCGACCACGGCCATCGCCAGCTCGCCAGAGCATGTAAACCTGAAAAACCAAGCGGACTTTTCCACTACTCTTAGAGCCTGGTGGTTCAGCGGAGTTCTGCAATTCACAACATGCTCTCATGAAATTGGGCTCATGCCAAAATCACGTGAAAACATCTTGTCCTATACATGAGGTGTGTACAAAGGGCAGGGATGTTAGGTTTCCTCACCCCGCCTGAGATTCGTCTGTACACTACAACGAAACTCACCGAAACCTCAAGTGAAACGAGCCTGGACACCGTAAAGCATGGTATCCGCAAGTGGCTCTCAGCATTTCACATGCAGCTGGATCTCCGTAAAGCTTGGAGTCCGTAAGGCTGCTCACTCAAAGAACATATGCTGACAGTAGCTGCAAGGAGTCAGCACTTTGTTCGGATTGTTCTGATGTACGTGGCAATTCTCGTGATGGAAACATCGGCCTCGGCCTGTGATCACCACTTGTGCAGGTGGCCCTGCACGCTCGCGAGCCCGAATGAGCTCTGTCTCCAGGGCACGGTTCTGGCGCCGCGCCTGCTCCAACTGTCTTGCAAGATCACGACTGGCTCGTGATGAAGCATCTGCTTTCGCCTGCTGGGCATCGGCCAGTAGGGCTTCAAGCTTCTTGACCCGCATGGTCAGCATCACAAGAATACCACCAAGAATTGTCATGACCAGCATCGCGCCGATGACGGTCGGCATCACAGCTGTGTCCCCACCACCTGTAGTGGTGGTCTGAGTCGTGGAGTTCGTCTCAGCCTCCACACCCGCACCATAGCCCTGTGACCCAAGGCTCCAAGATACGTAGCTCAAGATCATGCCCGCAATGGCATAAAACGTCTCACGACAGTACAACAGCCTGTCGTGCTGTGGAATAAGCATCCACCCATCATGATCATCAGACTCTGTACCACTGCCAATGCAAAATGCAAGGCATACCAAGAAAAGAACAAAGCTGCACATCCACGACCGAGAACTGTAAGCAGTCGTAACAGCTTCCGAAGGAATTGGCATCATCATGAGAAGGAGTGCAACACGCTTCACCCATGTGCTGGACGCATCGCCGCCTACCACTGTCCGAACACGCTTGACCTGGGCCTTCATCCCCTCTGTCGCCATGGTTCGGTCCCACTCTTCAGATCCCACTGGCCTGTCATGCATATCCACAAAGTCATGTAGGAACAGCAAACTCTGCAGCCGAGCTGGGGAGAGGGGCTTTGTGTGAATGTCACCAAGGTTTGCATGAGTGGAAACATACTTCATGATCAAGCGCTTCTGCTGCACTGCATCTTGCAACCAAAGCAATCGACCTTCAAAATGCTTGCTAGCCTTGGTAACCCCCTGACGCAAACAGAACGCTTTGCAGGACTGGTTGTCAACATAGACGATAAGATCGCAAGGGCTGCGGCTCATGAACTCGACCACCGCCTTCATGAAGAGTCCCTCACAGGAGCTGCCAACGGCACTGTAGTATTCACTTTCCATGGAAGACAAGCTGATGCACTTTTGCGATCGGCACACATAGTGAATATACTGCCCGTTCAGGCAGTAGCTAGCGCCTCCGTATGACCTCCTGTCCCTCTTCGACCCCGACCAATCAGCGTCCGAAAATGCCTCCAACACAAAGCGCTCAGAATCATCCTCTGAACCATGCTCGAACAGTTTCTTGGACCCAGGAGCTGTAGCCTTCATTGCTATCCCATAGTGAGCAGTGTTCACCAAATACTGGATTAACTTCGTCAACCCGATCTTCGCATGTTCTGTCGGCCTTGCCATGTAGGCGGCCAACATCCGGACAGCGTAGCCGACATCGGGCCGGTCACATGAGATGTAAAGAGCAGTTCCAACAGCTTGCCGGAATTTGCTTGCTTCAACATGCTCCAGCTCGCTGGTTGTGTCTTTAGCACGAAGTTCAGACCAACATGGTACACGCTGGCGTACATTCTCCTTGACATTCATGATCTCCTGCATGTGTGTGATGTACGAAGTTGGCTGTCGAATCGTGATCCCATGCTCTGTCAACGTGTGCAACCGCTTAAGGAAACTGAACGAATGGCCCACTTCATACGCCAACTCATATGTGATCTGGAACCTCTGCTGCACTGTTGGAATG